TTAAAATACTAATTAAGATCAAAGATCACACACAGGTTTCAGTATGGGTTGCACCACAATGTAAAGAAAACAAAAGTCTCACCACTAAACTAATAAATAACATCATTATAAATGGAGAAAAGAGTGAAGGTATCAAAGATTTAATTTTGCTTGGATTCACCATCAACACTCATGGAAGCAGGAGTCAAGAAATCAAATAACATTAGACCAATTTGCTGCAAAAGACCTCGTTTAAAGTGTTCAAGAGTAAAGACACAGTTTGAGGACTAAAGTGCACCTGACCCAAGCCATGGTATTTTTAATAACCTCATATGCATGTGAAAGTTGTACAGTGAATAATGAAGACTACAGAACTGATGCATTTGAATTATGGTGCTGGAGAATAGTAAAGGTACCATGTACTGCCAGAAGAACAAACAAATCTGTGTTGGAAGAAGTACAACCAGAATGCTCCTTAGAAGCCAAGCCGGCCAGACTTCGTCTCTCATACTTTGGACATATTATCAGGAGGGCCAGTCCCTGAAGAAGGATATCATGCTTGATAAAGTGGAGGGGCAGAAAACAGAGTGACAACCCCAAGGAGATGGACTGGCCCAGTGGAACAGACAATGGTCTCAAGCATAGCAGCAGTTATGAGGCTGGTGCAAGAGCAGGCAGTGCTGAGTTCTGTTGTACACAGGGTCGCTATGACTCAGAACCTGACCCGACGGCACTTAGCACCAACAACAAAGACTTCTGACCTCACAGTATTTTAACATTAAAAATGCTTGAAGCTTAGAAAACTTGTCAGTTGCTTGGCTTCCTATCTTAAATGGCATATTTTTCTCCGACACAGATACTCTGCGGTGTTAATCAATTCCAGAAGTAATTATTTAAATTTGTTCTATAAATATGAGAAGTACTACTGTGTTTTTAATAAATACATGATAGTCCGAAAGGTTTTATTATACATATATGACAGTGTCTATTTGTGGCACTGAAAGATAAGCAGTGGACTGCTAATTTCAAGGTCAGCAGTTCAAACCCACCAGCCACTCCTTGGAAACCCTGTACAGCTCACTATGAGTCAGAGCCAACTCAAAAGCCCTTAAGAACAACAATATGCTCTTATTGTTGTTATCACTGTTAAGTGCCGCTGAGTTGGCTCCAAGTCATAGCGACCCTGTATAGGGTTTCCAAGGAGCAACTGGTAAGTTTGAACTGACGACCTTGTGGTCCAGTGCATTATCCTGCAGCACCACACCAGGAATTCATACCCATACTAGGTACTCTAGTAGATACTAGGGAAAGTGGTAAACTAAATAGATTAAGTCAGTGACCAGTGAAATCAGAAAATAAGCTAATTCCTGAATATTTAATAAATTATGACCAGTTTATGAAGAAACATACAGGATACAGTACAGGGCTATAACAAAAAACAATTAGATCGGGGAGACAAATTTTGCAATGTAGATAATCAACAAAGAGCATTTTGGGCAAACATATGTAAGGTTCTGAAACATAAACAAGTTTGGCATATAGCATATGCTGTTGTTGTTAAATGCAGTCGAGTCAGTTCTGATTCACAGTGACTCTGCATCATGTTTTCAAGGAGCTACTGGTGAGATGACGTATTGCATTGGGCAAATCTGCTGCACAGGAACTTTTTAAAGTATTGAAGAGCAGAGATGTCAGCTTGAGGACTAAGGTGCTCCTGACCCAGGCCATTGTGTTTTCAATAGCCTCATACGGATGTGAAAGCTGGACAGTGAATGAGGAAGATCGTAGAAGAATTGATGTCTTTGAGTTGTGGTGTTGGAGGAGAATACTGAAAGTGCCATGGACTGCCAAAAGGACCAATAGATCTGTTTTGGAAGAAGTGCAGCCAGAGTGCTCCTTGGAGGCCAGGATGGCTAAGCTTCGTCTCTCATACTTTGGACATATTGTCCGGAGGAAACAATCGCTGGAGAAGGATGTCATGCTGGGTAAGGTGGAGGGTCAGAGAAAAAGAGGAAGACCCCCAAGGAGATGGATCAGCCAGGTTGGCATCATTGATGGCGTCAAGTGTGGCAGCGGTAGTGAGGTTGGCCCAGGATCGGACATTGTTTCGTTCTGCTGTACATGGGGTCACTATGAGTCGGTTCTGACTCGATGGCACCTAACAACAACAACAACACTGGTGAGCTTGAACTGCCAACCTTGCTGTTCAAACTGACCTTGTGGTCAAGTGCATATCCTACAGTACCGTACCAGGGCTTCTATATAACATGTAGTTGTTGTTAAGTGTCATCAAGTCAGTTCCAACTCACAGTGACCCTGTATAGAGTTTCTGAAGAGCAGCTGGTAAGTCAGAATTGCCAACCTTATGGTTCAAACCAACCTTTGTGGTTAAGTGCTTATCCACAGTGCCAACTGAGGACTCCATATACTAGGTACTTAAGGAATCTGGTGTGGTGCTGTGACAATAATGCACTGGACCACAAGGTTAGTTTAAACTGCAAGATCAGTGGTTCAAATTCACCAGCCACTTCTAGGAAACCCTATCCTGGGTCACAATGAGCCAGAACCGACTTGACAGCACTTAATAAACACGAATCTTTACGTAAGCCACCTGTCTATTCTTGCCCCCAAGAAGGAGCTGGTTAGAAGCTTTCGATTAGCAGTCCAATGCTTAACATGCTCTATGTAAACAGGGGAAATCTAACTTGAATAAAAAGACAGTTTCTTATAGGATTTAACAATAACTGAATTATTACAAGTTAAGTAACACTTAGCTAAGTAGTAGATGTAACAAAGCAAAGCAAAACAGTATGTGCAAAGCACAGCACCACAAAACAGTATGATGTCATTTACAGATGAAATTACATCTTGTTTTGTTATTGTTGTTTAGGGCTGTTGAGTCAGTTCCGACCAATAGCGACCCTGTATAGGATTTCTAAGGAGCAGCTGGTGATTTTGAACCACGGACCTTGTGGTTCAAATTGACTTTGCAGTCCAGTGCATTAACCTACAAGCACCACACGAGGACTCCACATCATGTTTAGTATTTGCTAAAAAAATAACAAGAGACAGGGAGTGGATGTAGCAGGAATACGCATGGGGTTAAGGGGGTTGAGAAGCTAGCTTAGTGGTTACGAGTCAGGCTGTTAATCTCAAGGTCAGCAGTTTGAAACTACCAGCTGTTCTGCAGGAGAAAGATGAGGCTTTCTGCTCCTGTAAAGATTTACAGCCTTGGAAACCCTATACAGGGATGCAATGAGTCAAAACTGACTCCACAGCATACCACCACCAATGGGGTTGGGCCAGGTAGCAGGTACAACAGAGTTATTCTCTTAGCCAATCAATTTATATGTTCAGACTCCTCTTAATTCAGATGTTAGAGAGGGAAAAAGAAAAGTAGGAAGAGAAGTAAAGTTAGAAGTAAATGGGAATGCATTCAAAGAATTTTCCATATTCATGGGGCCTTCAAAAAGTATAAGGAAAAATGGAATTACAAGCTAATACAATTTTTCCATGAACTTTTTGAAGCCCCTGGTACACCTACTCCTCACGACTATCTTATTATCCAACATTAGGCATTTACAATAGTAAAATATCTACTATTTTGAACATTATTCAAGTGGGGGGGAGCACAGCAGCAGCGGGCCATGGAGTACCCCCACTCTCAAAGAAGGTCTCCAGGCGGCCTCTGGGAAGCTG